AACATCGACGTGAAGGGATATCCTGCTTACTTTTGCTTAGCAGCTATCACTGTCCTTACAAACATTGTCCATGTTACTTGGGTATATTGTAACATTTTGTTGTTTCTTGGGCTCTCTCTCATTTCTGAGCATTTGCACTTGCTGTTTCATGCCAAAGTTTGCTCCCACCCCACACACTTGTATTTTCTTTTTTTTATCAAGGCTTTGCTCTCCCAAACATTACTTCTTTTACAATAAAATCTTTCAGTCTGTTTCCCTCAGACAGTTAGATATTCCCTTATTTGTGTTCCCAACTCACCTGTGTAGATTTTTATTTTGTAATTGTTTGTGTATAGGTCTGTCTCCTAGCTAGACTGTGAGCTGTTCAAGACTTGGGGCTGTTACCTATTCAGTTTTTCTCTTCATTAATACAGTTTCTGGCATAATTTGTTTGGTAAATCTTCAGCATGTTTATTGAAATGTGAAGGGAGACCAGTTAGGAGGCTGAAAAACTCTAGTTCAGTTTAAACTAAGATGATAATAGGAAGAATGTCAAAAACAGATGTGAAAGCCACTCTGACGGAAGGATAGAACATGATGAGTATGCAGAACAAAGCAAGACAAAGTAACTCAGTAGATCAGTTTTAAATATTACCGATTTAGTTTATTAAACTGTACTCTGAGGTAGAAATGTTAGCAGCACTTTAAAATATGCTGCTAGAATCTTGAGTTAAGACTAAAGATAGATTTTGAAATCAAACTACATTTGTTTGTTATCAGGAAAAGGACCACTCCATCATTAGATTTGTTTGTGTCCCTTGGGACTACACTTTTATGCATGGGCCACCATTTGCCAGTATTATAGGCAACAAATAGGTTTCAGAGTAGGTTCCTCACTAGAGGCCTTGCTGAAGGAAATTTTGTGTAAGATTAAATACTGTACTGCCTTGGGTATGAGCTGAGTCGTTTTAAACCTTTCCTGTTTATATCTATACACATAGACACATACATGCATATTTTCAAGTTTTATTTATGAAGTGTCCTAGGTATGTTTCTCTGGCCATTTAAAAAGCTTTAGACCTTGCCTTTTATTTCTTCTGTTCTGTAATTTCCATTTATCACACCTGGATCAAGAGCTACTTTACCAGTCAGAAATTGTTGGTTACGATTATCTCAAGTTTGAGATTTTGTGAATCCTTTTTCTGAGATTATTCTGATTTACTGCATTTGGCTTTGAAATACTGTATTTAAATTGTTGAGAATGTCATACCTTAAGAATTTCTAGCTAGTCCAAGTTAAATAATGAAGTACACACACACACACTCTCTCTCTCTCTCTCTCACACACACTCACACAAACTCACACAATACGTTCTGGTTAGTTCCTGTGGAAAAGGAAAGCAAAAATGGCTTGATTAAATGTTTTAGATCTGTGGTCCAGAAATTCTTAAGAAACATTGTTTTTTATATATACATATTCCTGTTCTTTCTGGATAAAAATCAATTTTTATTTCTCATTTGTTATAACATCTAGTATGAGAATTGGGAGAGAAGGTGGTTGTTAACAAAATAGATATAAGCCCTTGATATGTTTGCTTGAAAAAAAATGACATTATACATACCAAAGATTATAACAAAGTTTATATGTAGTGATGTAAAATGAAGTATGATTTATTTTTAAATTAATTTTTCAAATTTACCAAGTTGACTTTAATATAAATGGCATAACCAATAATAATATCGGTATATTTCAAAATAGTGTTGACATATTTCTTTGAAATTGATAAAAATTGATATTTAGGTTCCTTTGATTTCTACTTCTCTGTTCCAGGAAGTCATTTTACCCTTTCATATTATCATCTATCCATCTATCTATTTATTAGTGTCAGCTCTCTCTCAAAATATATCCTTTATCTAACCATTTCTAATCACTTCTACCACTGCCACCGCAGTCTGAGCCACCGTAATCTCTTACCAGCCTGTTTCCCTGCTTCCACTCTTGTCTCCTCTTTTGTTCAGTTCTTACAGAGTAGCTTCCAGTCATTTAAAAATGTATGTGCCAAATTATATCAATCTTAACCTGCCCCAAAACCCTCTTTCTTTTTTTTAAATCCTCATTTTAGGGTATGTTTCTGTTGATTTGAGAGAGAAAGAAACATTGATGCAAGAGAGAAACAGCAATTGGTTGCCTCCCATATGCACACCAATTGAGGATCGAACTAAGCACTGGTGCACAGAACAACGCTCCAACCAGCTGAGCCACTTGGGCCAAAACCCTCTCTTAACTTCCCACCTCACATAGAATAAAATCCGCTGTCCCTCAGGCCTGCCAGTCACAACATGATCTGGCCCTCACTAATATCTCCGACTTCATTTCCTGTCATTTTCTACTAGGTCCATGCTGCTTGGGTCACACCACTGAGGATCTTGCTATTTCCTCTGTATTGAATGAACTTCCTATATAGGTCTTTGCCTAATTGGTTCCCTTACTTCTTTCTCTGCTTTTTTATCTTCCCATTTCCACCCTTCCTGGCTATTATTCTAAAAGTTTTCCTACCCCATTACATTATACTATATGGAATAAAGGACAGGACATTTAAAGTTAAATTAAACTAGCTTTAATGAAAAAACTATGTTGTCTTTTTTCCCCCTGTCTTTTGGATTTTGCCTGGATTAGAAAATTCTTTGTTTCATCTCAGTACCCATGCATCCCTGGACTGGGGTTTGCATTTGGAGAGCAGAGTATTACATTCTTACCTCTCTCTTTTTTTTTCTTTTTTTTGCATAAAGCATGTAAGAATAATTAGTATTTTTACTGATGTGTGATTTAGCACATAAAACAAAAATGAATTTCTGCATATTTGTGTTTTCTTTCTCTGGCACACATAAACGCACAGTGAATCTGGGAAAATTTGGTATTGATGGAAAAGGAACATTTCTGTTTTTCTATGCCTGGGGCACTTCAGATATTTAGTTTTGCTTTCAAAACAGTAAAACCTTTACACAATATTAGCATGAAGTTTTTGTTCTGTACAGTCAATTTCAGTTTTGGAATTCTAGGAGTCTAATTGGTTTTGAAGATAAATGTGTAAAAACTGTCAAAAGAAGTTTACTTTGTATCTATTTGAGTTAATTTATGGGTGTTAAATTTGATGAGAGATACTCTGGTATTCTCCTGGAATTTTATTAAATTCTGTAAGTGTGTCATTTTCTCATTTGTCCTTTCTTAGACAAATAGTAATGGTTCTTGAAAGAGAATTAATTATATCCTTAACGTTTACAAAACAAACATTTAAAATCTCATATGTAAAGAGCCTTAATTTGTAGATTGTAAAATACTTTCCTCCCTGTTACTTCTCTGAAGTTAAACTCACTAAAAATACTTGTTTTTTCTGTTAGTGACTATTTAGGGGGTCAGTGGATGGGCATAAGGGCTCCTAATCCCTGAAATTACATTCAGAATGATAGAAGAGCTTTCCTGAGATTTCACCAAGGGGGTCCTTTGCCCAGAGAAGATTAAGTATGTTCTAACAAAGTAATAGACCCTTTAAGCCCTGGCCAGTTTTGCTCAGTGGTTAGAGCATCCGCCCCTGGACCAGAGAGTCCTGGGTTGGTTCGGTTCCCACTAAGGGCACATAACTCTGTTGCAGTTTGTTCCCAGCCCCCGTTGGGGTCGTGTGGGTGGCAACCAGTCGATGTGTCTCTCTCGCACCGATTTTTCTCTCTCTCTTCCCCCCTCTCTCCCTCCTGCTCTATCTGAAGATAAATGCAAAAATGTCCTCAGGTGAGGATAAAAAAAAAAAAAAAGAAGATATTTCTCCATATTTCACACCTAAAACATATAGCAAAACAGTGATTAAGCTGTTTTTCACTGTTGTTTGTATTTAATTGACTAGCTTTTTCTCAAACTTTAACAAGAATAGTTAAATTTTTGAGTTTTCTTAAGATACAAAAGGAACTTAAGATATAAAGCAATTATTAAATAGCATGGGTGCTTTCAATAAACAGGCACATCAGCTTGCCTTTAAAGTCTGCATCATATTAGTTCACCATATCTACTGACAATAGTCACTACAGTGTTTCATTTTGAAATGAGAAGTAAAAGTGTTCATTTCTTTTAGTTGAAAAAAGTACCCTTATTCATAATGAGTGTACAGTTATCAAATTTGATGTTTTTTCCCAAAAATTTTTGTGGAAAGATGTGGTCACTATGTATTCAGGTCTTTATAAATCTCTTCTATCGTGACATTTCAGTTTGCACATTGACCTAAATAACCTGAACTGATAGCTTTGGAAACTTTGTAGAGGTAACCTTAAAAAAAAAATAACAAGTAAAAATTAGCACAGATTTACTAATTATTAATGTTGGTGTGCATTCAAAAGTACTAGTGTTGGATTTGGTAGAGACTTAAAAAGCAAAAGAGTAAGCAGATTATGTAATAGAGTTTATAAATTTAGATCAGGATGATGAATGAAAAATTTATTCTAAATGTTGTATGAGTGGGTACTATGGCTTCAGATAAAATTCCCTGTGTGCCATTATATACTGACTCGGAAAGTACAATGTCTTAATAAACTTAGATTGTAAGTGAAGATCATATGCTCTGGAAAACAGCGAATTTACTAAGTAGCTATAGTGTTTACAAAGACTAATACTGAAGATGCATGTGAAGATTTTGAATAATTAAATCCAAACTTAATTTCAAAAAAAATCTTTGTATGAGAAAATTATGCTTGGGTTGCTATTTTTTCAGGAATAAGTCATATTTATTTCTTTTAAATAGAATCATTGAATAAGACAGGCTTTACATTTCTCCTCTTACTTTTAGGGCCTGGGAGTAAACATTTAATACTATATTGTTATACTCAGATTTATTACTTTAATGTGTCCCAATAGCCCTTAGTTGGTCTATTTCTTCATCTTAGAAATGCTCCCTTCATTTTCTGGTTCCATATAAGAATAAAGTAAAGCTTGATATTTTCCAAAATATTATTCTTGATAAAAGCAATATTTTTGTTTAGGTGACAAACAGCATGTTTGGTGCTTCAAGAAAGAAGTTTGTAGAGGGGGTCGACAGTGACTACCATGACGAAAATATGTACTACAGCCAGTCTTCTATGTTTCCACATCGGTCAGAAAAAGATGTAAGTTAATCAGTTACGTTGTGTTTACTCACTGGTATATACCTGTCTCTCTCTGGTTCCTGAAAAGCAGTATATGAACTGCAGTGCACCATCTTTGGTTGAATGACTGTGTTTTAAGCACATTTCTAGGCTCTGGGATACAAAGATGATGAGCTTACATTAATGGGCGACAAAATGTTCTATGATTCTCAAGTTGGGATATGGTAATACTGTGGTAGGAAGTACTCAAAGACATGGGGTAAATATGGTATTGCTTCAAGATCGATTTTTGAAAAAAATTTGTGTATATAGAATAGAAAGATTTCAAGATATAATGGAAGGCTTCAGTGAAACTTTACCTTTGCTTTGTAATCTTCTGGCTATAATCCTAGGCTTCAGAAACAGCATTTCTCCAATGTTCAGTTGTGGGGATACTATAATAGAAAAATTTTGAAGAATTGTATTCAAAACATGGAAGATCATATAGAGGTGTGAATTTAGTGCTTAGGAAGGCTAGAAGAAAGGATTTAGGAATAGCAAAGTCATAATTATCCAATTGATAAACTATTTTAAATGAATTCAATTGTTATTTTCAAATTCTGGTAAACTGCTTTAAATGATACACTATATATAGTAAGTCTTCACTTAACATCATCAGTAGATTCTTGGAAACTGCACTTTAAGCAAAACGACATGTAACAAAACCAATTTTACCATAGGCTAATTTATATAAACAAAAGTTAAGCTCCTACAGCATATTTAGTCATGAAAACATCACCATACTTTTTAAATCTCTGTAACACTTCTAATATTAACCATTGAAATAAACATGAGCTGTATATACATTTAAGAAAGCTTATTAAAAACAAGTAAGAGAATTATTTTCCAACCTATCTATTCTAGGTCAGGGTTGCAAGTGGCCAGAGCCTGTCTGGCAGCTCAAGGCTCAAGGTGGGACCCAACCTTGTACAGGACACCATTGCATTGTAGGGCACCCTCATAAACACGTTACATCCACACTAACTCAGACTGGGACAATTTAGACATACCAGTGAACCTAATGTTAACATCTTTGGGACATGGGAAGAAACCAGAACACCTGGAGAAAACCCACACAGACAGACATAGGGAGAATGTGCACACCATACAGTCAGTGGTCCCCAGTGGGAATTGATTTTTTTTTCCCCCTCTCACCAATGTTATAATGAAGCAACATTATATGAGGACCTGCTATTTACTTAGTCAAACCAGTTGCATTTTGTACTTTGTGCTTTTTTTTGTTTGTTTATAAACTTGCTATTCCTAATTTCTCTGTCTATGTAATAATCTACTATAGTTATTAACCTAGTGAGATTCTTAGTGATGTTTAAACAGTTATAAAATTCTAAGATATGTAACAAAGTGCTTTCATTTTTTCATTAAAGTTTATCATTAGTAAATCACTTCCTGTGTCTTTAAGAATTTCATAAATTGGCTTAATGTAGGTTTAAGTTAGGATTTCAGTGGGCTTTACAATTTTTCCCTTCTGTTTTGGTGTTATTTCCCCTATATTTGAATATTGTGTCATTTTGGCAACAAACTGTCAATTGCATTATTTGTGTATGGTGGCTTTATTTATAATTAGTGTGCAGTTTAATAACTCAGAATAATGTCATCTACTTAATCTTCTGTTATTACTGCTCTAAGTTATTTGCTACAAATTATAATGGAATTATAGTTTACATGAGTTGCATGTTTAATTATTGATCTTATAGTTAAAGAATTTGGGATGTCTTTCTGGTAGCATCACTGCAGAAACTATAAAACTAATCCGTGTGTGTTACTATGATGGTAGCACAAGTTAAGTTTGATGGAAAAGTGGCAGTGGAATGTTACTTACTGATGAAAAGCACTTATTCCAATTAGGAAGATATGAAACTTTCAAACTGAATCTGAAATAAAGTATGTGAAGAGAAAAATGATAGAGATACCTGTCTTCTTCAGAGCAAAGTATTTTAGTCAGAATTATTTACATCCACTCTCATACTCACATATATTGGTTAGCGTTCCAATGTAATTGTTTGTTACAGAACTAACACAGAATGAATTGATTCATAAAACTCTGGTGAATTAATTAATTAAGAAAGTAATAAGACATAGGAATTAAGAATTTGGGCTCTAAAGCAATTAGAGGTATGTATTTGGATCTTTACTTTGTCTATTAGCAAGAACTTCTCCAAGTCTCAGTTTTCTCATCTGTAAAAGGGGAATAATAATAATATATATATATATACTAACTACTTACGAATTTTTGCTGCTGTTAATACTTTTTTTTTTATCCTCACCCGAGGACATTTTTCCATTTTTTGTTCAGATAGAGCGGGAGGGAGAGAGAGAGAGAGAAACATCGATGTGAAGGGACACATCGAGTGGCTGCCACCCGCACGACCAACCAGGGCCGGGGACAAACTGCAACCGAGGCACATGCCCTTAGCAGGAATCGAACCCGGGTCTCTCCGGACCGCAGGCCGACGCTCCAACCGCTGAGCCAAACCGGCCAGGGCTGTTAATACTTTTTTAAATTATAAAATAGTACAGGAGTATTACACAAAATTTTGAAAATATTCATGGAAGAAAAGTTACCCATAATGTTGACAATCAGGAATAATTAATTGATAAAATTTTAATTTTATACTTTAAATACTTTTATTTTACAAATGTTATTTCTCTGGGACATACTGACATAGTTTCTATTAGAAAGCTTGTAGCAGTTTTTACTTTCATCAACATTGTTCATGTCCTCAAAAATACCGGCTATTACATTTCAGTCTTTGCCAAGAGACAAAAGAAGCTTCTTGTTTTAATGTGCAGTAAAATAGTGTTAACTTTATACACATGCACACACACAGAGTGATGTGTCTTTTCCATGTAGTGACCATTTGTACTTCTTCCTTTGTGGATTACCTATTTCTGTGCTATTTTCTTTTGAGATAGTTATCTTGTTTGTTGATGTTTTCTGTATATTAAGATTAATATTGTCATTTGTTACAAATATTTTCTCAGTAATTTGTTTTCAATTTAGTTTGTAGTTTTTTAAATATAAAATGTTTATCTTTTTTACTGAATATGATTCATCATTTTTTGTTTGTTTGTTTCTGTTTTTGAGATCATACTTAGACTTTTTCCAAACTACTTTCTACTAGTACTTTTGTGCTTCATTCTTCACATATAACTTAGTTCATTAGAAATGTATTTTGGTTTTAAGGTATACATTTTGTGGTGCCAGATTTTCCCGTACTCTGAGTATTCAGTTGTCCCTACACCATGTATAATTATATCACCAGTCAGAAAACTTTTCCATAAATGACCAGGCAGTAAATATTTTAGGTTTTGCATGCCAAGAGATTAATTAAAGAATATTAAGTAGGTATTTATATAACTATTTAAAATGTTTTTAAAAATGCTCTTGGTTCATGTACTCTACAAGTATAAGCAATATGCTGGGCTTGGCCTGTATTCAGTAATTTGACCTTCCCTGGGTTAGACCTTTCATTTATGGCTCACTGAAATTTCTTCCTTATTATATTCTAATGTCTGATGTATTCTTGGGTCTTTTACTGAACTCTTTTGTTCTGTTTATAATACTGATTCTGTGGCAGAACTACAACATAGTTGTAGTTTATAGGCAATTTTCACATCTTAGGTAAGGTCTTTCCCATCCTTTATAAAAATATTTTTTATTTTTGCACTCTTATACTAATGTGTATCTTCTTTAAGTAGAATATGTTTGTTTTTTAGTTCTTTTGTCCTTTATGCCTTTTAATAAGTAGGGTGGCCATTTTTATTGTATTTTTCTGATTGGTTTTTACTCATTTATAGAATAGTTTGATTGTGTATATATTTATAGCCAACTATGTTACAAAACTCTTTTATTAGTTTTTGTTGATTGGGAATGTGGACTGTAAAAATCCTACTACGTACATGAGTTTATATCTCAGCCGCATAATTTTCTAGCTATGTGTCCTTGGGCAAGTTACTTAGTCTCTCTGTGTATCTCTTTTTTCTCATCTATAAAATAGAAATAATACATGACTCATGGGTGCTTATCAGGATTGAATGGATAACTATGTGCAACACTTTTAGAAGACAGTAAATGTTTTTTCAGTACTAAATAAATGACAGATACTTTTATAATTTTTTTTCTCTGGGAACAGTGAGAAAATAATTTTAAACTGTAATTTAAAGATAAAGGAGAACTGTCTAGTGGTTGAGGGACTCTTTAAGCCAGTTGCCAAAGAAAACAAAACAAAAAAACAACTAATTTTTTTATTTACCCTATTCACAGAGCATAAACTGTAACCATTTCTTCACCATATACATGATTGTAGAAGTATATGGGAAACTATTCATTATGAGATTATGTGCTAATTAAGTTGCTAAGTAGTTCTTTGAGCCTACTTCTTATTTTCCAAGACCTTTTATTTCAAGATATGCCTGCATTATATGTGTTTTCCTAGAGAATGCTGAATTTGTTGTTTTGAGATATAAAGGAGTTTTATAAATATTACAGATGTTACTTAAATGTTTTCAAAGATTAAATCATAGGCAGATATGAGCTTAATATTTTTCTTTTTTACCATTATTATTTTCTTTATGAAATCCTTATAGAAAATGAAAAGCATTCACATAAGACATGTAACAGACAACTCTTTGGGGGTAATAAAATCTAAGGAATTTAGAATTTAAAAAATAAATATTTATGTTTTAATTGCTAGCATCTTTTTTAGTTAAATGAGTCTTTACACTCATTTGATGATTCTTAAGCATAATCATTTTAAAAGACAGATTTACAGGAACCTCTTTTCCCTTGTTTTAATATACTGTAAAAGCATGAAATGTGACCCTTGTTCCTTACTTTTAAAAACTCTTAAAACTGATAAGAATAAGCCACTTCCTTATTTTGACAAACAGCAACCTTTTTTTTTTTCATTAATCCTCACCTGAGGATATTTTTCCATTTATATTTTAGATAGAGTAGAAGG